GACTGTCTGCAACTCCAGTCCTAAGATATCTGATGCCCTCTTCTGGCCTCCATGGACATTAGGCATGCAAGTGATGCACAGACATAGATGCAGGCAAAACACCCATACACATAAATAATGAAAGTTTTGAAAAGTACACCTGCTTCTGAAAACAATGTGAAGACCAAGAGCTGCAAAAGCTCAGCAACCACTACTAGAAACCGTTTCTGGCCGTGGGACTTAAAGCAGGAGTGGAAAGAGAAAGCATACTAGCTGCTTCTGCCCTGTAGACTACATACTATTATTTTCCTGCATCTAGTCTGTGTTCAGGGCTGGCTCAGTTCACCCTATCTTTGATTGGCCTACCTGAACCACTGGCCTGGCATGCAAACTGTTTTTAGGATAGTCAGGGTGTTGATTGCTTTTGTTTTAAGCACTCTCCTGGATTATATTTTCCATTCTAATTCTGCTTTTACAAGCAAAATACAGTATATACTTATTCTTTAAATTCATTCAAGCAAAGGCAGTCATGCTAACAATGGCTTGTCATCCAGTACTGGGAAGGTGGAGGCGGAGGATCAGGAGCTCAGTCATTGATAGCTACATGGTGAGTTTGGAGCTATCCTTAGCCTTTTTAGACCCTGTCTAAAAAGCAAAAGCCCTAAAAATAATCCACATTCAAAGTAGAGCTTCTAGTGAATGCATGTCACTTTTGCACCATGGTAAAGAAAAAAAATTCTACACTGTGCCACAGCAAGTTGGAGATTGTCTATAGAAAGAAAACATGCATACATGTATGTCATCCTTTACCCATTTATCCCCACAGTCACCCTGTGTTTGCTATGTGTAATTCCAATGTAAACACACACAATTTTTAACAAGCATAAAATTATGGCATACATATTGTCCTGTAATTGTTTCTTTTTTTCCCCCACTCAAAAATGTGTCAAGGTATGCTTCTTATTTTAACATATATGAATCCACTTGGTTATATTTATCTGGTGCAAAATATACTAAAAATGTGCATGACATAATTGTACAATATTTTTTATTATAGTCTGGGGGTGGGCCTTTAGGAAATGGTGGCTCTATCTTGTACCTTGATGTTGGTGATAATTTCACGACTTCATGTGTATCTCCAAAGTCATACAATTGTGATCTTTAGACCTGTGCATCCTCTTTCACTGTAGTTAGACTTTGAATGAGTGGTTTACAAAATTCAAGAGATGCTACAACTGTAGCACACACCTGTAATCCCAGCACTTGAGAGGTAGGAGGCTAGAAGATTGGGGTTCCAGGTCATTTTCAGCTAAGTAGTGACTTTGAGGCCAGTCAGAGCTACAGGAGACCCTGACTGGAGAAAACAAAAACAGCAACAACAAAAAAACTGTGAACACTTTACTGAGGGACATCTATGCCATCTTTTATGTTATATTTAAGCTCTTACATTAGAGTAAACAACAAATATTCTTGAACATACCTCAGTATGTTGTAATGAAGATATCTATAAGCATTTTTCCTGACTTAGGATTGCTAGGTTAAGTGGCATATCAAATTTTAAGTTTGGTAAGTATTACCTGCTTGTCAGTTCCATCAATGGTACGGTATACGAGACTGTGCAATGTTTCTTGCTGTGAAATAATGCTTTTGTACACTGGTTTAATAAAATGCTGATTGGCCAGTAGCCAGACAGGAAGTATAGGCAGGATAAGCAGACAAGTTGAATTCTGGGAAGAGGAAAGCTGAGTCAGGAGACGCCAGCCTGCCGTCCAGGGAGCAGCATGTAATGGCACATAGGTAAAGCCACAGAGCACAAGGCAACATATAGATTAACAGAAATGGGTTAGTTTAAGTGTAAAAGCTAGTCAGTGGTAGGCCTGAGCTAATGGCTGAGCAGTTTTAATTAATATATGCCTCTGTGTGTTTACTTGGGTCTGAGCATCTGCAGGACCAGTGGGTGAGAGAGATTTGTTCTGACCACAGGCCAGGTGGGACACAGATAGACTCTGGCCAAAGTTTCTTTTATCTAGGATTTGACTGGAATGAAGACAGTAACTTGAATTTACTTCTATTGCTAAAAGCCCCATTTCAGATATCTCTCTTCTCATGTAAATCATCAACCTGGTTTGGTTGGTAGGACCCAACAGATAACTACAAATTCAAAACTTAAAATTTGAGGGACATTGATCTTTGCTGATTACACATCACTTTTGGTACCATAATGTCCAAAAAATGTTAGTTGTACAACCAAAATTTGGAGACCGTCTCCATTTGTGTATAAAGAAAACACTCCATGTCCCCATCTTCAACACGTACTCTCAAATTGCTTTACAGTGAGTTCAAAAGGACCTGGGAGTCAGAGTAGGAGGCCTGGTTCGTATGACCATTTCTATGATGCAGTGCACTCATGAATTTAAGGTCCTGGGATTTTACTGTGTATTCTATGAAAGTCAGATCATAATGCTTGCTAAGGTAAACTGTTGTGGTTATTGTGGTGATTTAATGGTGAGATACAAAGGAGGTTTGTAATCTGAGAAATATGATACACATTCCAAGTGGTTATTAAGATTGTATCCTTAAACCAGGGAGCTTCTAAGCAAGAGGAGCAGATAGTGAGAATTTGGGAGGAAAAAATTACATACAGATGAAATATTAAGCTTGTATAGTTTAGAGTCCTTTCCTCACTCTATATTCTTGGAGAACAAACCACACTGGGAGTAAGGAATCTTTGGGTATCAAGAATAACACAGATTATCACCTTTTTACACAGGGATCCAAGTCTTTCATGCTGGGCTTAGAATCTTGTTTAAATGACATTACTATGTTTCAATTTGTCAAGTACCTAATAGGATTTTGTGCCCCCCCCCCCCGCATGTGCACGTGCGTGCACACACACACCACACACACACACACACACACACACACACACACACACACACACACACACACACATACTTAGTCTCTGTAATCACTGGAGAGAGAAGAAATACACACATGAAAGGTTTAAATAACCATGCGAAGTGACTATATAAATAACTCCAAGTTATAGCTGAGGTATATGTGGGGATTAGAATGAAATCAAATACTTTTTAATTACAATTGAAATCAATACCCCAGAAACCATAGCTGAATCATTACCAGGAAAATTCAGTTACGCTTCCTTTTTTTTTTTTAAAAAAAAGTATTTGGGTTTAAAATAACCCAAATAAATGCAATTTACAAATAAGATACGCTACCATTAAGCAAATGACATTTAGATCAGTATTTTTTAGATTACTTCCACCATTATGTATAAAAAAAACATCAATGTGATGTAGTTACTTTTTTAACTCCAAAGTTAATTAAAAAGATATCTGTAAAGTCATTGTAAGCAGAATCATCCTGATTTCAACCTATTAATCAAGAATGGGAGAGAGAGTGTGCGTTGCATTCAAAGACAACCACCAGGGTGTGTTTTAAAAGACATTTTAAAATACCTTGTTTTTAAACAACACTTACCTGGTGTAGTTTTTCCTTATAAAGCCAGTGCATATCCTCACAGCCATTAATGCCATGTTTAATTTTTATTAAGCATACACTTCAGCATATTAGAAAATTCATGGACTTTGTACTCAGATTTCAATACATATTCCTGCTCTACTACTTTCTACTGTCTTCATATAATACTTACGTATGCATAAATATGTATTTTTATTGAAGGAAAATGTTGCAAAGTCATCCTCAAGAATGGTTTGAATTATGTAGTTCACTTAGTCTCTGTCACCCTCACCCCTGTTTTGTTGTAGGTTGGTCATTGTTCTTTCATGGCCTGGTGTTAGTCAAAATGAATCAATACACCCCCCCCCACACACACACACCTTTCCTGCTATCTGAAGAGTTATCTCTGGTTAATCTTCCTCAGAGGAACTGGGAAAACATGAAATTCAGTCTTGGTGTTAAAATGCATTAAACATAAATATGTGCTGTCATTGGGAAGAAATGAGTGTCGTTTCTTATGCAGTGTTGAGAAAATTAAATAAAGGGACACCGGAAATAGTTATTGTTCATTCTGGCCATTCATTTGTGTGAGCATATATTTATCTTTATTTTTTAAAAGTTTAAAAGTAGAGAAGAAAATCGCCTATAACGCACTACTTTAACCTAACCATTAAAATTGTATCGTCTCCGCCTTCTGTGTTGGGGAGGCACGTTCTGCATCATTACAGCTCAAACATACAGAGTACTGTGCAGTCTATTGTCTCAATGCAGAGGTTTGACATAATTTATATAAGCTGCCAAAATTCTAAGAATGGTGGATTTGGGAATAGGAAGTGATGATTTGCGAAGGCAGATTTTAAATGGCTTAGGACACCTGTCAAAAATTGAACCTTCTGGTAAAGATGAGAGAAATCACTAAAGGTTTTAGGGAAAGGATGAACAAGGGGATCTGTGTGAAATCAATGCACTCAACTGGAAGTAAAATGATTATTTCTTTTGCATAATGCCACCTGTTTTGAAATGTATGTTTCACGTACAGAAGACTGTTTTCCCTGTCTAAATTGCTACCTTTCTTAATTCCACCGCCACATTCCCCCCCCCCCCCCCCCCCCCCCCCCCCGCTTAGTTTTGTATGTAACCTGCTAGGCTGACAGGTGGTGTCCCAAATCCAAACCATTTCCTCAAGAAAGCCTGCTCCTGTAGATGGATTCCCTGGCCGGAAAATACATCTCAAAGCCTAGTGTTCTTAAGGCTGGCAAGCAAGAAAGATGCATGAAATGTCCCCTCCCCACTCCTGTCTGTTGCCTCTTTCTCGATGGCTCCACCTTCCTCTTTAGACAATCCTGACAGTGTAGAAGTTTCCATCTCCTTTCCCCTCTCCTTCCCCCCCCCCCTTCCACTTTCTCCCCCCCTCTCCTAGGTCGCTTCCTGCCTGGAAACAAAAGATTGGTCCCTGGTAGCCCACTCAGGGCGATTTTACTTTTATGCTCACCATCTGATTGGCCTAGGTACGGTGCAGAGCCCAGGTGACGTCATAGCAAAGAAGAGCTAGGGAGCGGTTGCTGAGCAGGGGCTCTACAGCAGGCAGGCAGCTGTGGCCGCAAACAGTCTGGGGTCTTACACTGGGGACTGAAGCTTTTCCCCTCTGGGAGTGAGTGTACTGGGCGAGAGAAGAGCCGTGGGGGGAGCCGGCTGGGCCCCGGGCTGCGGCTGCAGCCGCTGGGCTGCAGCTCCCCAGCCCAACTGTCGGCGTGCTTGGAGGTACTGGAAAGGTCTTGGCAGGGTGGCTGGACCCTTGACAGGTAAATCCCGCGACTTCTGTACTGTACCGGGCGAGCTCGAGGGTGAGGAGGCTGCTGGGCAGATGTTCCTTCCTGTGTCCCCCCCTCCTGCTCCTGCTGCGCCCCAGCTTTGACTCTCCTACGTGGCTCCCTTGCCCAAGCCATGGGACCCAGCGCACAGCGCTTGATGGGGTTTGCCTAGGCAGATGAGTGGGTGTGTCCGGGCTAGTCCTGAAGGACCTGGGCTTCCTTTGGCCAAATCCAGGACTAGCTTACTGGGGCTTGGGCCGCCTGGGGCAAAATCCGCCCTGAAAGCTATGTCAGACTGGAAGTCTCCTACCATCTCCCCCCACCCCCAGCCACAGTGTTGACAGCAGCCCTCTAGAGAAGGGGAGGGGGTGTGGCCGCAGTCTGGCCAAGTCTGCATCAGGACCCAACTGAAACAGCAAAGTACCAATTTTCTTAAAAAGGAGCCCTCCTTTCTTTTAAAATTTTTTTCTTTATCCCCCTCCCCTTTTCACACGGGGGGATGGTAATGACAGGAGAACTCTTTTTTTTTTTTTTTTCCTTCTTCTTCCGTGGGGACTGAATGGATTAAATAAGGTCCTTAGAAAAGCCTGGAGTCTCCCTGTTGGCCCCTGTCTTTGTCTGGGGAGTTGGGTCATTGGGTTTACTGCGTCCTTCCTTCCCAGTCCCTTTGGCTCCCAGGAGACACTGCCCTCAGTTTGTGACCTGGCATGATGACTGGCATACTTCTGGGTGAAGAGAACATTTTAGATTCAGGCTCTGGTAGGCTTTCGCTTTCCTTAGGTGGTGGTTGAGGGCAGGGTGAGGGCTTGGGAGGTATAGGTGGTTCTCCCAAGGAGGGAACCAGGGGCTCCATTGGGTTTTGTTTGTTTGTTTGTTTTTTGGCCCCACCTTCCAGAATCCAGTTCCAGATTATAGACTTGAGGTTTCTGGGCTGTATGGGTGGTAGAAGCAAAGGACAGAAGGGTGAGTGACTTGGCTTTGGGAAGCATGATGGGGGTGGTTGCAGTACTATTTTTTGAAAAAATGGCTTTCACCAGGGAAGCCTTTGGCCATGTTAGTTCTGCTCCTCCCCCAACCCCGTGGTTTTGCAGACTCAAATCCAGGCCAACTGTATGGTTGTCTGAGGTACTGGAACAGAAGGAGGTCCATTCCTGTTGGTGACAGCACTGTGGCCCTGTTCTGGGATGAGCCAGGTATAAAAGGTCAGTGTGGTTTTCACTGGGCCATTTGTAAAGTCGTAATTGGGCAGGATGTGTGATTTGGCACTTGAGCTTCCAATCAGGGGCACCTCTGGGTAAAGGGGCTCACGGTGGTCATGGAGGTAATGGATGATTAATAGGCTGGGACCTCTTTTTCTGGATCCAAATGCCATATTCCTCTGTGTCCATGTAATACACAACAGAAAAGTGTCTGGGAGGTATGCTGGGTTAAAGCTGACTGCTGGTAATCCAGAATCCAGAAACCTCAGGATGTGAAGAGACACCTTCTTTAAGTTTCCCAACAGACAAGTAAACGTGATAAGAGTATAAGCAACGGCCACAACACCCCATGAACATTTGAACTAGCTGATCATTCCTACAGGTTGTGGCTTTTTTTTTTCTTCCTGTTCAAAGGTGGAAGTGGTGTACAGAGCAGTCAAGTTTACTCTGGGTTTGGAGAAGACTGGGTCATAGATCTGATAGATGGGAGAAATGGGAAGGGACTGCAGGATGGAAGGGGGTTACTGGCAGAGAGTCTGCTATTGTGAAGCCAAGACTGAGCAGCAGGTCAAAAAGGATGACTAATACAGAAGAAATCAGATCTAGACATCAGACAGAATAGGCAGGAGCTAATGGAGGAGGTAGGAGAGAGCTGTAGAGGATGAAGAAAGACCAGTATCTTGCTAGGAGCTCAAGAGTCCTGGTTTCCCTGGTGACATGGTAACAGAAAAGTTTTGATAGTCAAGTCACTAGTGACTCAATCAAGGATTTTAGGGGGCTTCTAGCTGTTTACAGAATCAATAGCATTCCCAACTGCATAGCCTGTTTTTAGGAACCAGTAACTCTAACCAAAAGAAGGAGAAGAAACTTGCTGAGCAGCAGTTCCCCCCGACACACACACACAAACCCCAGCTCTTTCCTTTTGGATAAAGGGAAGGGACAGGGGTGAAGGCTTGTAAGGAGAGCAAGGGAGCTATAATCTGAGACTGAAATCTGACTGCTTCGATGTGGGTGAATTAGGCCAAGGTTTGAGACAAAAAAAGAGAGCCGTGGGGGTGGGGGTGGGGGCTGGGACCTTGTGTCCACCAAGAACAGCAGAAAACCTTTACCCTGGAAGGTAAGTGTGGCTCACAGATTAAGCCTTAGCAGAACCCCCCACCCCCACCCTACCCCACCCCACCCCACCCACATCCACACCCACACCTCACAGAAGCTAGGCAGTTCCCTCTTTGCAGGGCCAGGGTAGACTTTCCAGGCCCAATCCGCACTAAATAGCTTTGCCAGCAGGGGGCAGAAAAGTAACTGGAGCGACATGAAGGACCCAAGTCCTCCATTTCAGGTGTGAAGCCCGAGCTTCAGATCAACCAACAGCCATACATTTACAATCTGATTTAGCAGTGCCAGAGAACTAAATGAACCTCCAGGTCAATGTGTTCCCATTTCTTCCCAGAAATGTGGCGCTGCCTACCGCGCTCTGCAACACAGGGAGGTAACATGCATTTACTTGTGATTACTTGAGTCACTAATACACACAGCCTAACCGGGAGTTTAATTGGAAATGTTAATCAATGCAATAGATCCGTGTCTGATTTGCACATTCGGTCAATTATCTGCACGTTGGGACAATCTGTGCTGCACCCAGGGGATGCAACGAGGGGGTAAAACGGTGCAGCTACAGATGCGGCTGGGGTGGGAAGCAAACAGGGGAAGTGGGCCCTGAAGCCTGAGAAGAAATTAACAATTTACTGGTGGGGAAGAGTCATCTCAAACATGTTTTCACAGAAAGGCTGGATCATGAGGTGGTTGGTCCAGACGCTCCCAGAGCTGAGGGGGAGACAAGGTTTTCTGTGAGGTAGAAGGGGGGTGGATCTAGAGAAAAGATTTTTTTTTTGTACGGTGGGCAGGATAGAAGCTGTGATAGCATAAACCTTGGAAATCAGAAATCAGGTGTTCTTTGATGAATGCATGTGGTACTTGGTGCCTGTTTCCTTGACCTTCAAATGATGGAGTTAGACTAGGTGTTCTCTAACCTGGCGGGAACATTAGGCAATGGGGCCCTTTTATACTTGGTTGTAAAGATAGCCACTAAAGTACAGCCCTCCTGCAACAAAAGAAAATAGCCTGTCTATATCATTTTCCATTTTATGTGCTCCCCAGTTAAGGGAAAGCCAGTGCAAAAGAGATATCCATACATTTCATCTTTTAGCCACATGACTTCACTTTTATTTCATGTGAATGCGGAACATTCGGGAAAGGAGAAGTCCAATTCTGTATTTTCTGGGTTACCTATAACTAAGCCCCAGAAAAGCTCTGTGTGGTAGTCTTCATAGACAGATCATAGGGAGGAGCACTGAGACTCACGACTATTGTAACTCCCTAACGAAGTCCCAAAACAGAAAGACATTGTGGTGAAGAAAAAGATAAATAAAAGAAGGGGGCCGGCTTGGCAGAGGGCAGCTTCTTTTCTCTCCTCTCTATCAGAGAGCCCTGTGCATTCTTTAGAATTCTGCACCCCAAACAGACCACTGTCTCTGACAGCACAATATCGCCCCCTAGCGACGATACTCAAGATACATTTTCTCAGCTTCCCATTGCTATCCCATGATCCAGCCTGGAGGCCAGCTCTTACAAGCCTGGCAAGCAAAGGCACACTCCTTCAATCAACACTGAAGGAGAAACTCAGGGAGGTGCGCTTCCTTCAGAGCCTTCTTCTCTAGCGTGAGCAAGTTTAGAGAGAGGGGCATCATTCTCTTCTCCCTTGTGCTTTATCTTCTTTGGGCCTGAAGAAGGATCCAGGAGCTTTCCCCAGAAATCTTTAACGCTGCATAAGACATTGGCCATGAATGGTTCTGGGGAAGAGAGCACAATTGTCACAACTTCCTTTGATCTCCATCCCAAGGTGATAGTTTTAGTCCTCAGACAGAGATTCTCAGGGGAGGGGGACAAAAAAAGCTGAAATGCAGCAAGGAAAGAGAAGTTAGGTATGTATAAGATGTATGCATCCATACCTCCCTGGTTTCCAACAAGATGCTGAGCTACAGGTAGAAAGCAAAGGCTGTATAACTGCACAGTAAACTACAGCTACACAACACTCACCACTCAGTACAAATTTACAACATGGCATAGACATACATGCTGCACACTACCAATTAGACACTTGGCATATGCATGTGCATGTAGCATGCATGGTAGAGATGCAATCATATGTAACACATTACAGAAATATAGTGCATTTACAATAGCATACTGACAAGATAAACATACATGATGTGATATAGACACTGCACTGCACACAAAACACAATACAGCATAGTATTGGTATAACACCTCATGTATACACACACACACATAACAGAGTGCAAGGTATCGCACAGATATACATTACCCAGCTTTTGCTCATATACAAAATATGCTATACTCAAAATACACCCCCAGGAGGCAAGAGGAGTCACCACCTGGTGACCTGCCAGTTGCTTCTGCACTGGCTCAAGCTACACAACTGGTGTGTTCAAGGCAAACTACCATGAAGTTACTGTTTGGTATTCCAAGTGAGGGTATGCGGGAAAACTGAAGTACAGTGAACGAAAACTTAGAAACATGAGGATTTTTGGTTAGTGCAGGCTGGTGCACACACACACACACACACACACACACACACACACACACACACACAGTCTCTAGCATTCTTTCCCATCAATACAATCAGATGCTGTTTCCCCAGTAATAATTAGGAATGGGCCACATCTGACCCTCTTCAGGCCTTGTCCCTTCAGGAGTTCTGACAGCTCTTATCTCTCCACCTCACCTCATCTTCTTGCAAAGTGAGCTCCTGCAGAGAGGGAGGAGGTGGCATCACTCAGTGATGCAGTGAAAGTTACTAAGGGTATGCTTGTGGGAAATACACATGGATGCTAGTGGACAATTGTGGTCTAGAATCTATACCAGAGGAAGAGGCAGGTCCAGCGGATGGCACTGTCCTTTTTGCTTAAGAGGTAGAATTGGATTGGGGGGGAAGGCTGAGGGGTGGGAGGAGGGAGGACAGGGGAATCCGTGGCTGATATGTAAAATTAAATTAATTATAAAATAAAAATATTTAATAAAAAAGAGGTAGAATTGGAGATCATGGGACTTTCCTTGGCTTCCAAAGACCTCAATTTTGCTTTCTCTTTAAATATCCATCGATCTATTTCTTTGGGCTAGAACTCTGTATTTTGTTGTCCTCTAATAACTAGGTGATAGCCTGGGTCATGCTCTATTTGAATTAGCATGTAGTTGCTACTTTCCTTACAGGGTCAATACAGTTGTGGGGGTGGGGTACTGGGGAGAAGTACATAGAGGGTGTAGAGCTTGGAGTTCTACAAAGGGAAAATCAGCCTTTCTCTGGGGAGGCTCAAGTGATTGTGGGAAAATGCAGAAGGCCAAGGGGTTAATGGGACCCTGTCTCTGGCAGAAGGTATAGCTGGATAGTAGAGTGACTGCCTAGCATGCAAGTCACCATGGTTCTGGATTCCATCTCCAGCATGATGAGGGAGGACATGAGAGAGGGGTAAAGAGAGAGATCCCGTTTCTATCACAGTTAGATATAGAAACCTCTGTGAGGCAAACAAGGTAAATTGTCATCAAAATAAATCAAATAGGATGTATCCACCTTGGGAAATCTGGCAAAAGCCATGGGAAAAAATTTCTTTGGTTAAGACAGCCTGGAAGGTTCAATTAAGGTCAGAGGTTTAGAACCTCCACAGGTGTGAGGCAAAAAGAAACTCAAGAGCAGAGCGTTCTTGCCTAAGAGACTCTCCCTCCAGATTCCTACCCAAAGAAAGAGGTCAGTGACCAAAGGAGTTGAGATGGAGGTAGAAACTCGGAATTGAGGGATGAAAGAACTGAATAGTAGTGGGAGTTTGCTAGGCAGCTCAGATATTCTCAGTGGGCATTATCTCTGTGGACTACCGTCCACCGCACTGTGCCATCTCTGCTAAGTACGCAAATTCACTCGTAATTCTGAA